CTGGAATTCCAGAAAGGAATATTACTTTGTTTTGTTCTGTATGATTGTAATTCCACGCACCAAGAAGAATACCTGGTACATAGTAGACACTCCAAATATGTAAGTGTATTAAGACTATACTGTATACTGTTACTGATGTATTGAGACTAGACAACAGGAAGATCCACTAGAAAGCCATTGCATTTATCCATAAAATTGAGGAGATGCCAATTTAAATGATGAGCACTGATTGAGGTCTGAAACTACAAAGACATTTATATTTTTTAACAAAATTTGCTAAAGAACCAAAGCCTCCAAAGTTTGAGGCCTGAGTAATAGATTAAAAAAAAAACACATAAAAAAACAACAACAAAAAAACAAAATAGAGAGAGAACTGCCATTAACTGAGATAGGGAAGATTCTGGAAAGGTAAGGATTGGGATGTAGGGTATCAGAAACTTAGTTTAGACTGTATATGTAATGTTAAAGTAACACACATTGGCATTCTCCATTAGCAGATAATTGAACAGAAATATGTATTTCTCAGTAGAATTTCCATTGGGATCCTTGTATTTTACCCCATTTTATAATATAATTTTCTGCATTTTATTAACAAACTAGAGGCCCAGTGCACAAAAATTTGTGCACTCGGGGGTCCCTCAGCCCAGCCTGTGCCCTCTCGCAGTCTGGGACCCCTCGGGGGATGTCCACCTGCTGGTTTAGGCCTGCTCCTCGGGGGATTGTGTCTAAGCTGGCAGTGATACATCCCTTGGGGGATGTCCACTTGCCAGCGGGCCGAAGCTGCAGTTGAATATCCATAGTGCTGCTGAGGAGGCAGGAGAGGCTCCCACCATTGCCACTGTGATGCCGTCAGCCTGGCTTGTGGCTGAGCAGAGCTCCCCCTGTGGGAGTGCACTGACTACCAGGGGGAAGCTCCTGCATTTGAGCATCTGCCCCTGGCGGTCAGTGTGTATCATAGTGACCAGTCATTCCCAGTCGTTCTGCTGTTAGGGTCAATTTGCACATTACCGCCCTAACGGGTTTGGCTCAGTGGATAGAGCATCGGCCTGCGGACTGAAGGGTCCCAGGTTCGATTCTCGTCAAGGGCATGTACTCTGGTTGCGTACGCATCCCCAGTAGGGGTTGTGCAGGAGGCAGCTGATCGAAGTTTCGCTCTCATCTATGTTTCTAACTCTCTATCCCTCTCCCTTCCTCTCTGTAAAAAAATCAATAAAATATATTTGGGGAAAAAAATTGCATGTGCACATTACCCTTTTATTATATAGGATAGAAGCCTGGTGCACGGGTGGGAGCCAGCTGGTTTGCCCTGAAGGGTGTCCCAGATCAGGGTGGGCAGGGGACCCCCAGCTCCCTACGATCGCCCACGCTGCCCCTGCTCACGATCTCTGGCTCTGCCCATGCTCATGCCTAACACCTCTGGCCAAAGCATTAGGCCTGGGCAAGGGACCCCCAGCTCCCCACCATCGTCAACTCGGCCCCTGCTCCCTGCGATTGACCGCTTTGCCCGAATACCTCTCGCCCAGGCATTAGGCCTGGGCAGGGGACCCACAGCTCTCCAAGGGACCTCCTGCTCCACCCCTTCCCAGGCTTAACGCCTGTGGCCAAGGCATTAGGCCTGGGCAGGGGACCCCAAGCTCCCACCATCAGCGACTGTGCCCCTGCTCCCCATGATCGCTGGCACTGCTCCTGCCCAGGCCTAATGCCTCTGGCCAAGGCATTAGGCCCGGGCAAGGGACCCCCGCAGCTGCAGCCTCCCCCGATCGTGGGCTCCGCCCCTGCCCGGGCCTTATGCCTCTGGCCTAGGAGTTAGGCCCAGGCAGGGGACCCTTGCTGCAGCTGCCCCCCTATAGTGGCTCCGCCTCTGCCCAGGCCTTACACCTCTGGCCGAGGCGTTAGGCCCAGGCAGGGGACACCCCAAGCTGCAGCCACCCCCGATCGTGGGCTCCGCCCCTGCCTGGGCCTAACGCCTCTGGCCGAGTCGTTAGGCCCGGGCAGCGGGGACCCCCAGCTGCAGCCGCCCCCCCACCCAGCTCAACCGCTCCCTGATAGTGGGCTCCAGGCAGCGGAGACCGACAGCTGCAGCCACCCCCATGATTGGGGGGTTCGGCCCTGCCCAGCTCCCATCGCTGGCTCCACCCCTACTTCCCACTATCACTGGGCAGTGCGGCAAAGGCCAGGAATTCTCCAATCAATGGCTGGGGGGGGCAGGGCAAAAGGGGGCCGCCTTTGCCCTGTCCCCTGGCTCTTAGCTCCCCCCTGGGTTTCCGATCACTGTCAGTGCCAGGGGGCTTCTTCTGTGCTTTCCCTTTTGCCTTCCTGCATTGTGCCTACATATGCAAATTAACCGCCATCTTTGTTGACAGTTAACCGCCATCTTGGCTGGTGATTAATTTGCATATCTCGCTAATTAGCCAATGGGAAGGGTAGCGGTCGTATGCCAATTACCATGTTTCTCTTTTATTAGTGTAGATATCTCACATTTTCTTTATCCTGTCATCCACTGATGTACACCTGTGTACTTATATATCTTGGCTATTTGTAAATAATGCTGCAGTGAACATGGGAATGTATATATCTTTTGGAATTAGTGATTTGGACTTCTTCAGATAAATATCCAGAAGTGGGATTGCTGGTTTGTATGGAAGTTCTGTTTTTAATGTTTTGGGGAACCTCCATACTGTTTTCCCTAATGGCTGTGTCAGTTTACATTCCCAATTAGCAGTACATAAGGGTTCAGGATCTGATTCTCAAACACTGTGCCATTTGTATACTCTACCTATAAGAATAATCATCAATACAAAATAAAGATATTTTTTTCTTTTTAAAAAAATTTTTAAAAAATTATTCATATTACAGAAAATTTCCCATTTTCTCCCCCTTTCCCCCCTCCTCCCAGCCCCTATCCACTCCCCAGGTCTTTACTCTTCACTACCCTATTGTCCATGTCAATGGGCTATACATACCTTATCTAATAAAGCAGGAATATGCAAATTGACCATCACACCAAGATGGCTGTGCCCACAGCGGAGGCAGGGATTTCATAGCACAAGATGGCTGCGCCCACAGCGAAGGCCAAGTTCCCATAACGAGCCTTAATGAGCAATCAGCAGGGACCTGAGGCTGCATGGTGCTGGGCTCGGGCAAGGCACCTGAGGCTGCGCCCCCCACACGGCGGGGCTTTATGGGGAATGTCAGGCCACGCTCCCCGCCCCGGCGCTGGGCCTGGGGACCTGAGGCTGCACCCCCCCCACCCAGCGGGGCTTGACGGGTCTGGATCTTGCCCAATGGGGGTGGGGCCAGCCGGGTTTGGGTCTCACGCGATTTTCAGGCACACACAGTTGGGCGCGCCCCAGACTCTGACAGGAGGAAGATTTTCATATACATTTTACTAATTTTCTTTCATCTCTGACACTTCTATCATAAAGGGCAAATAGTAATATTAAAATATTTCCTCTAATTAATTCCCTTTTAATGTGCATGAATTTCATGCACCGGGCCACTAGTAAGTATATAAGTTCTTTGGTTTATCTCTTCTCATCCCCTCAACCCCACATCGAGGTTTGTCAGTCTGTTTCATGCCTCCCTGCTTCGGGTCTTACTTTATTGGTCAATTCATTTTGTTCATTAGATTCCACAAATAAGTGAGATCATGTGATATTTGTCTTTCTCAGCTTGGCTTATTTCACTCAGCATAATATTTTCCAGGTCCATCCATGCTGTCCCAAAGGGTAAGAGATCCCTCTTTTTTACAGCTACCTAGTATTCCATAGTGTAAATATCCCACAGCTTTTTTTATCCATTCATCTACTGATGGGCACTTGGGCTGTTTCCAAATCTTAGCTATTGTAAATAATGCTGCTATGAACATAGGGGTGTATATATTCTTTCTGATTGGAGTTTTGGTGTTTTTAGGATATATTCCAAGAAGTGGAAACGCTGGGTCAAATGAAAGTTCCATTTTTAAATTTTTGAGGAAACTCCATACTATTTTCCATAGTGGCTGCACCAATCTGCATTCCCACGAGCAGTGAACTAGTGTTCCCTTTTCTCCACATCCTCACCAGCACTTGTTTGTTGATTTTTTAATGATAGCCTTTCTGACAGGTGTGAAGTGATATCTCATTGTGGTTTTAATTTGCATTTCTCTGATGATTATGGAGAAATGTCTATTCAGGTCTTCTGCCCATTTTGTAATTAGATTGTTTGTCTTCTTTTTGTTGAGTTGTATGAGTACTTTACATATTTTGGATATTAACCCCTTATCAAATCTATTATTGGAAAATATGTTCTCCCATTCATTCAGTGGATTCCCTTTTTAATTTGATGGTTATTTCTTTTGCTATACAGAAGCTTTTTATTTTGATGTAGTCCCAATTGTTTATTTTCTCCTTTGGGATTTTAATAGGGATTGTGTTGAATCTATAGATTGTGTTGGATAGTATAGACATTTTGATGATATTAATTCTTCTAATTCATAAACATTGTATACACTTATATTTGTTTCTATCTTCCTCCATTTTTTTTTTCAATGTCCTATAGTTTTCCAAGTACAGGCCTTTTACTTCCTTGGTTAAGTTTATTCTTAGGTATCTTTTTTGTTGTTGTTGCAATGGTAAATAGGATTGCTTTTTAATTTTTTTCTTCTGAGAGTTCATTATTGTTGCGTAAAAATG